ACAAGCAGTTTGAAAAGAACACAGGTGGTGTGTTCAAGGGACCATGACCAGCAGTTTATTTTTCTTTTTCCCTCACTTTGTATTTCAGGGCCCTTTCACATATGTCACCTCCGGAAATGACTCTGTTGTCCTCCACAAGCTCAGCTCAGCCCTGGGACAGATGGCCTTCGGTGAGTTCGATGGAATTAAATGGTGTCCTACCATGTGTAAATCATTGTTAAGTATTACAAGGTGTGCCGAAAAGTTTAAAATATAGTCCCTGCCCTCAAGGACAGAGAGGCTTTTGCTTCTGTCCAATGGCCAGTGAAGGAGAGTCCAGGTGACTCCACGGCAGTGAAGCATATGCCTGATAAAAGGCAGCGAACTCTGGACAGTACCGACCAGTCCAAAGAAAACCAGGTGTTCCCTTTCTCAGGATGCTCCACGTGGGGTGGTCCAAGAGGAATCAGGGTCTCTGCCGGCCTCTCTCGGAATCGGTACCAGGCTCAGCCAGTCTTGTGCCTTTCACAGCCTTCCCGGGATATTCCTGCACAAGCAGAGAGAATCTGCAACCGAGAACCAGCTCAGAACCAGAAGCCAGAGTCCTTGCAGATGTACCTACAGCTCCCCTGTGGCTGGGCCACTGAGTAACACTCTGCAACTAATTCTGCAAAGGACAAGAGTGAAAGAAGCAAAATAAGGCAACACACGTGGTTAGCTTCTCAACTGGTCCATCTTGGGCAAAAGGCAGGCTTCACCTGGCCCGAGAGACCAAGCAACCTAACCCCGGCCCTTAAAGCACCAGCTAGGGCTGAGCAGGGGAAAGCAGGAGTTGAGCATTGCCTGAGACAAACCGAAATACGAACTTATCTCAGGCATCCTCACAGTGTGATGATGTGGCTACTGCCGTGAGTGGGCTACAGAGACGTCAAGAACTTTCCACGTTGCATGGGCAGAGTTGCTTCTTCCGTGATAGTTGGCAGATGCCTGTCAGTCACTTCACAAAAAGTGACCTGCAGAGGCACCAAGCAGCACAGAACTGCCTTTTTGAGCAGCCAGACAGCATAAGCTTCTGGGCGGTCAGCACTCCCTGCAGCGTATTTGAGCCCCTGCTTCTTAGGTGACCGAAGGCCAAATACATGGTGAGAAGCGGGTGGCCCAAGCCTTGAGGTTCTGGGCCCTGAATTTTTAGTCAGAAATCCTCTTTTCAAGGCAAAAACATACCAAAGAATGTTTGAAGTGTTTTGAAGAAAGAGTTCATACGCCTTAACTCTGTAACAGAGGAAGCAGCAACTCTCATTTGAAGACAGTTGAAGAATAAGCCTCGCTGCAGGCTAGGTCTAGAGGAAAGGACTGCACGTCCTGGACCAGGGCAGGGAGCAGTCCTTCAAAACTACCAGCAGCCAAACAACAAAAAGAAAAAGCCCTGAAACACAGAAGTCTGGCCACATGGCTGGGCAGAGGGGAGGGGCGCCCAGGAGGGGTCCGAAAGTGCCAAAGACAGATGACTGAAATTGCAACCAACAGGCTTCCGTACCCCAGGGAAGGGTAAACAACTAAAGTGGCTTGAAATTGCTCATCATATGCACAGGCTGCAAAGGTCCCAACACGGGTGCACCATCAAGGTGAACATGGTGCCCCTGTGCTCGGCTAGACACCCTCCTACCCACTTCCGGGTTGTGGTGGCAGGAGGAGGGGCAGAGACGCTGTGTAGGGTGACATGTGTGGGGGACGCTAGCCTATACTGGCTGGGAGTTTGGACATTTCCACCTTAAGTGGGATTTGGGGCTGGGAGATTTAAAATAGAGGGTACAGGGAGACGCACCCCCGTTTTTGCACTCCCCTCGCCTGCACGGTCAGGAGTCCTGCTAGAGATGTGAGCCTTGCCAGCACTCGGCCTGCAGCAGCCCGTGCCCCACGGCAGGGGTCCTAGGCTGCCACCACCCCCACCCCCAGTCTCTCACTCTGAGAGCAGCACACAGCCGTGTGGGCCAGGCGCACTCACCGGCCTGCGGGACACGAGCAGCCTTGGACGCTGAGGGCCCCACAGACGGAGCCCCTTGCACAACTGGCTGCAGTGCCCTAGCAGTGTGCCCTGGCTCTAGGCGGGGAGGAAGCTGCAGCGCAGCAGTGGAGACCCTGGCCCCACAAGCGCGCACTCCAGAGAGGGAAGGAGAGCCTGGGGCCAGAGAGACAGAGTCCCATTCACAGAACAGCCTCGGGCCCAAGGAGGACCCACCAGAATGGAGCAGGGTGTCTGCACGCTGACTGATTCTGGTGGGGGGATGGAGGGTGGGGGGCTGGCTCCTTTCTGTGTATTGCAGAAAAGAGTGGCTTGGAATTGGGGAGCCTTCTGCTCCCCGAATTGGGCAACCTTTTAATAAAGACCCTTTTCCTTCCCCACCAATACTGTGTCAAGCTCCTGCATGCGGCAAGCGGTCAAATCCCACTTTGTTCAGTAACACCCCCATCCCTCCAACCCCCCCCCCCCCTGCCACAAAGCATCAGCAAGCACACAACCTTAGACTCTTTATTTAAAGAAAATATGTTGGAGCCAGACTACTGTGTAACCAAACAAAACTACCACTGAAACTTGACAGTTTTTACTGACGGCCCTTGGTCTCTTGGTCTCAGAGGCTGACAGGACAAGGTGGCTGGTTTTACCCACGCTGTGCAGCTCCACCTTCACCGTTAATCCCCGAAAATCAGGCTCTGAAGTGCAGAAGTGAGCACCACTCTCTGCTTTATTGCTGCCCGGGCCAGGGGAGGTGGGGCTGCCCAGACAGCCCAGAGGACACCACCCCAGGAACCGGGTTGTGGAGAAAGTGGGTATATTGTTCTGCTCCTTTTTAAAAAGAACATTCCAAGCAGGTGAATGCTTCAAACACCCCGGGTTACTAAAGCTGACAGAAGAAATACCTAGATCTAAGAAAATCTGGCAAAACTATCTGAATGAACAGATTCTCAACTGTCCTAAATATTATGATATATTTTTGAAAGTTAATGCATAAATGCTTGTATACCAGAAAAAAGCGTCTGTTGAGGGATCAGGGCTGGCTGTGGGGAGCAGGCCGGCTGATGGGCAGGCTGTGGGGGTTCCACGCAGGTCCGCAGTTAAGCCCCGCACCCGTCCACGGCGCCCAGGCTTGGGAAAGGTGTCACGCTGCCAAGCCACTGCAAGAACATTCTAAACTCCCCACCTCACGCTGCCTCCAGGTGCCCGGAGGTGAAGGCCCTGTCCTCTAGTTCTCTCCAAAAGGTTTAAATCTTTTCAATGGTCTCTGCTTTATCCATCTTTAAACCAATTAAGGGCATTTTTTTGAGCATTCACTGGATTCCCAAGGCACTGCAATGAAATAGCCATATCCCTGGGTCAGCAATAGTTCTGAAGAGAGCATCATTTATTACCGCACTAGGCTGGACTAGAGGACCGAGAACTTGGCGCTGTATTTAACTCTTCCTCTGGCCTGCTGAGTACTGTTTCTTCCTTTGCATCTTAATTTTTTTCATTCAAAAAGTATTTACTCAATACCTACTATGTGCCAGGTTCGATTCTAGGCGCTGCGTCTACAGGACCAAGTAAGTTCCTTTCACAACTCACACAGACCAGGGGAAACAAGTATTTCCAGGTGGAGAGAGATGAGTGCTAGAAAAAGAAATACACAGAGTAACAGAACTCAATGCTGCCAGGACCGAAGGGGGGGGGAACATCCTACTTTCGTCAGGGAAGAGCTCCCGGAGGAGGCAGCGGACAGCTCAGCGGGGCCCTGAGCGATAAGCAAAGACTCTCCAGGCGGAGGAAGCACACACCAAGGCTGGCGGTGGCAAAGAGTCCGAGGAACGGAAGGAAGGCCTGTGTGGCCAAAAGTGAATGAAAGGGACCGAGTGAATGAAGATTAGGTAGGAGAGGTGACAGGGGCTGAGTGTCCAGGGCATTGCGTGCTTTGAGGAAAAGTGGAAACTTCAACCACAGTGAAATGAGGACTAGTAAATGGATAAAGAAAATGTGGTGAATATATATATTTGCCCATAAAAAACAAGGAAATCTTGCTATTTGCAACCACAAAGATGGACTCTGAGGGCATTATGCTAAGACAAATAAGTTCAAAGAAAGACACAGTATTATTTCACTTACATGTGGAATCTTAAAAAACAAACAAACCCAAAACCCCCAAGCTCAGAGGTATAGAGAACAGACTGGGGGTTGGGTGGGCGGGGGGAGCACACGGTAGGTGAAGGAGCACGAACTCCCAGTTATAAAATAAATTAGTCCTAGGGTGTCGTGTGCAGCACGGTGACTACAGTCAACAGTCACGTGCTAAAAATCTGAAAGCTGCTAGAATAGATCCTCAAAGTTCTCATCGCAAGGAGAAAAAAATCCTGTAAGCTATACATGGTGACAAATGTTAACTGGACTTCCTGTGATGACCATTTTGTCACATATGTAAATAGTGAGTAATTACACTGATTCCTAAAACCCATACAATGTTGTATGTCCATTGTACCTCCAAGAAAGGTGAGGTGAGAAACCACTGGGGGCTTTAAGCAGGGGCCACGCCACCCCAATCACGGTGCAGACTTGGGGAGGACCAAGCACATAAAGGACACCACACAGAGAACAGTTGGGTGTTCGTTCTCCTGAAAGGGGCCTCAGGGACCAGGGTAAGACGTGTGGCGTGTCGGGTCATCCTGGAACCAAACAGTAAGGAGCTGACTGATCACTGGCACCGCTCTTAGCCCAGTCGCCAGTACCAGAATCCCCTGGGCAACACAACAGACCTACTACACCGTACACTTGGGCTGTTCCAGAGACGGACTCACGCCCCACCTGCATGCATGCTCTTCCTTGCACTGAGCCCAAATCTGACCCCTTCTGCTTTTGAGTCACCTGCCCCTCAACACTTCTGGGCCCGACCATCAGCTCTCACACCGCAGGAATTCTCTTCTCAGGCAGGTTGGCAGCAGTTGCTCATCTGACTATTAACTTTTTACTGTGGGAAACTTCAAAAGCAGAGAGGATAGAACAGTATAACGAATCTTTATTTACCCATGACCAAGAGCAACCAACTCATGACCAGTTTAGTTTCCATGTGACATTTTGATTTCCTTGACCAGCTTTGTCATTACATGTGTCTTACAGGTGTGGTCTGCCCAGCGCAGAAAACTAGTGGCTTAATCGAGATGCTCCAAGTCCACTAACACAGCCCATCGCACCGTGGCAGCCACACTGTTCCTTCAAAATGCAGACCCAGACTCCCCCACCAGAGGGAATTCAGGTTTGTTCCGGTGACTTTCATCCTGTCGAATGCCATTCATCCCCCCAGGCTACCATGATCCCTTCAGACCTCCACTCTCTTAATATTCACCATCCCTCCCAGCTCTTGTGACACCGTAAATTCTGAAGAGTAATGAAAGTCATCTCTACCTTCTCAGAGGTTAACAAGAGAAAGAATATGAACATGCATACGAAATAGAGTTTAGGGCTGGGAAGGATCACACAAAATTTTTAATTAAACTCCTCATTCCATCAATGAGTAAACTAAGACCCAGAGAGTCTGTGTCTAGTTCAAGGCCATCCATTAGGTGAAGGCCGGTCAGGCTACAGCCCAGGCCTCAAGCTCACTGCCCTGTCAGCCCCCCGTCCCTCTCTAGGTCCTTAGGGGGAGGCACCGAATGACAGAAAACGCAGGGTGTCACCAGCCAGGCTACTGTCTGCAGACCACTGAAAGCTGATTTCTTGTCAACTACCAACAAGAACCCAACTCGCCTGGCAAAGTGTTACCAGATATTGCTCTCTGCCAGGCCCCACTGCCCTCAATTACTTTCCAAGTAAGTTTCTGCACCCCCAGAGATTAGATTGGAAATGATTTTTCTCTGCTCCTTCTTAATCAATTCCTGTAGCACACAGGACTCTGAAACTGAATGAGAGTTAGGGTTGTCAAAAATGTTCATAAATAAGTCACATATATTAGAAATGAGAGGCTGTTACTCAAAAAGCCACAAAATATCTTAATTAGAAAAGACACCAAAAATACACATCTTAAAAATTCAGCACTCAAGAATGCATTTTACAATTGTTTCCATTGGGGAAACAGAGAATTAAAATGGGTAATAATTATAGACACAACTTCACGTGATAATCTGGCTAATGTACAAGAAGCATCACAATGTTTTTCTGGTATTTCTCCTTATGGTTAACTAACCACATGAAGTCCAGATGTGCACAGCCCAGGGAGCCCCCCAACCAACTGGCGGTGCACTCGGGGGGTTCCCCTCAGTACAGACGTCGGGTGGAGGGGTGGGGAGGGGCCACAGAGCTTTACCAAGAAGCGTGCAATCCAGCTTCTTATCCAGTCTGCTGGCATCATCAACTGTCAAACCATTTGCTCCTCTTTGCAAGAGGCACTCCTTTAGATGGTCCCAATAATTTCTGCTTATACTGTTCGACCAGCTGGTTGAAGCGCTTTTCTGTCTTATTTCCCTTAGCTTTTTTCTTAGGTACCTAGAAACGACAGGTAAGGAAACAAAAGACAGTCAACTTCAAGCAGTAAATACCCCTTTACCTTAAGGTCGCCCAAGAGAGAAAACAAGTAGGAGAGTTCTTGCGCACCACAGGAAGGGGCCTTCCAGAGAGTGAGCCTTGGAGAGAAAAACCATCACGGAATCACCCACTGTGAGAAATCAGACCAGGAATGTGTAAGGGAAGGGCCCCTACAACACTGCTCAGGGTGTCGGAGGCCACTCCCAATGTCCCCTTGAACCACCTCCCAAGTGAGTCCGGCCGAGCTGGGGTGTTTGCACTTGCCCTTCCCCTTACCAAGGACACTGCTTATGGGATTTCGGAGACAGTTTTAGAAGACAATATGAATAGGTTCGAGATTTCGCAGGCACGGATTTTTTTTAGAATGATGGGACACGAGTGCTTCTTGTGCCTTAAGAGAAAGGGACTAGGGAAGGAGAAAGAAAGCTTGACCTTGAATGTTCAAGGACTCGGGCCTGTTATCTTCTCCTAAAAGAAACCAGGGCTCCTCAGAGAAATGGTGCATGCGAACACCAGGACCAGGGGGACCTGTAAGATGAGCAGGGACATCCCGCTGTACTAGAAGCAAGGACACAAAGGCAGGGTCCTCTCACAAGGACTCGGGGGCCACCTGACATTGTGCTCCGCTGGCCTGACGGTGTGATGACTGCGGGTGATGAAGCACAGCAAGAATATAAAAACCGGGTGTTCAGGAGTTCGTGCAAAATCTCACTGGTCACCACAGGGGCTGACAGGACACCAACTCATTATTCTGGAAACTGATAAAGAGGAAAATAACCATACATTTATCCTGCCTTTCCTATAGAAGTGGTATTTCATGGTAACCAAAAGGTCGGAAAGATTCTTTGTTCTAGAATTCTACTAAAAAATGCAAAAGGACTGACGGATTTAGAAAGTCACCATTGGGCAGCCCACACTGAAATGATGGATCCAGACGGCAGCCCGCAGCGCTGCCGAAGCCATCGGGTGAGAGGCTGACAGAGGACTTCACAAATGCAGGGGCGGGGCAGACAATCCCAAAACCTACTGGTGAATTTGCGCATCACCAAAAACGGGGCCCCCAGACATCAGACGCCTCATCATATGATGCCACAGAAAGCACCCAGCATTCTCTACGAGTTACTTTTGCCAAGAAAACTGAACTTGAATCCTCTAGACCTCACTACCAGTGTGTACATAACACGTGGCGTTACAGGAACAAGTTAAATGGCGCCTCAGGGATGCAAAGCAGCTGGGCCCGAAGCGCAGTACATTCTAAAAGGCAAATGACCCGGTCTCCCCCTCAAATTAACAGCATCGGAGAAAAGGGCTGATGAGGAAGACTGGATCTTATACGGGAAAGAATCTAAAAGATATAAAAACCAAATTAATTACGTGGACTTTCTTTGAATCCTGATTCGTACAAACCAACTATAAAACATTTTTGAGGTCATTGGGGACATTTTAACATGGGCTGTGCATTAGATGACTTCAAGGCTTCTTATTAAAAGTTCATTCGATGTGAAGTGGCTGTGTGTGTGTTTAGGGCCTGATCCGCTGCAGATACATTCCGAGGTATTTTTCCGAGCAACGCACACTTCCACATGAGGCACATCTGACGAGCGAAGTGACGTTTACTTTAATATACTGGAGGCAGTAACTGTCGAAGCACAGTAACTGATGTGTGGGGGCCTATTTGCCTGTTCTCCCCACTTTCAGGACACGCACCTCCACAGCTGCCGCCAACGGTGGCCGCAGTCCGGAGCCCTTCCTTCCCCCAGAACTCACCAGGGTGCGGGAGCGACCGCCAGCCCCGCGGGGTCTGTCATACCAAAACCTCATGCCCCACGGGCTCACCTGCTTGGAAGATTTCTGCTGCTCTTGCTGCCGCTGGTTTATCTGGGGCTTTGGCTTTTTGGGAGGGAGAGACTTCACTTTGCCTTTGTCCCGCAACCTGAAACAACACGGTCAGGAGTCAGCCCGAGTTCTTCCTCTGACTGGTACTCCCGGGGTTCGCTCAGCCGGAAGAGAAAATACCTGTTCTTATCCTGGCCTTTTCTAAGCCCAGGAGAAGGCGTTCTAAAAGGGGACTAATGCCACAGAATGCTCTATGACTCCACGTTTGTATATTTCATTTTTGTTTTGGTTTAAAACCTCAAGAGAATCTCAAAAAAACTTTATTTAACAAATATTTTTTAAAGATCAACTTTTGTCCACAGCACTCAACTGTGGCCCCGAACAGAAACAGCAGGGGAACCTCGAGTGGGTGAGCGGGAGGCCGCTCGCTCCTCGGAAGAGGAGGAAATGGCGTGGAGCCTGCCCTGGAAGGCCCCCGGGAGGCCCCCGCCGCCAGTCCTGCTCTGGCCTCCGTGTGACCTGGGAATGACCCCTCTGCTTGTGCTTTGACCCTTAATATGTGGGCCTGGCACAGCACGAAGCATCCTGGCCGTCCACACAGAGGCCACAAAGAGGAAAAGAGCTAAGCAAAAACAAGCCCTCTCAGAAGCCACCCGTGCTCCACGCCGCCGTCCTGCCTCTCACCTAACTTTCGGGCCTCGGTGTGAGGGCAGTGCCAGGACCTTCCTTCTCTTCTTCCCATCGGGCAGCTCCACGTGCTCCACCTCCGCCTTGGTCTGGAACCCTGACCATGACGTAGGGCCCACCTTCCCCTTCCGCTCTGGGGAGGCCGTGCTCTGCTCCTCTGCATGGTTTTGAGCTGCTTTCTGTTGCTGGTCTTTCCCACACCCCCGTTGCTCCTGCTGGGGCTCACCAGCTGTGGCCTTGGATTTCACTTTTTGCTGCATAAACAAGAGACCACCATCTGGTTTCTGGATGCGGTTTACACGTTAGAACCGCTCAGCTCAGAGGAGCCTTGTGTGAGCTTAGTGAAAAAGTTCACCCCAAGACAGAAACTGCAGGAGTGAATACAAGTAGTTCACAGGCCCTGACACAGTAACAACTGGTTGCTGGGTGCAGGCACAGAGTAACCACTGCCCTTTCCACGTGGGAAAGGGGAAAGTGCATGCACGCACCAGATGCGCACAAAGTCAGCAAGAAAAAAGAAGGCTAGTAGCGTGGAACAATTACCAAGGTGTGACGAGGCTATAATGGGAATACCAGGAGGAGGAAAAAAGGCACAGAAGAGTGGGGGGGTCCCTTACCTACAGAGAAGCAAAGATAATACTACACTGGATTTCTCTTCAGAAAGCATGTAAACAGGAAAAGAATAGAGTGAAATATTTAAAGCTTGGTGGGGGTGGGGGGGAATCACAAACCTAGAATTGTATATCCAGTGTAACTATCCCTCAAAAGTGAAAGAAACATAAAGATTTTCTCAAACACAATTAAAAGAAATCTGTCCCCAGTAGACATGCCTTGTGAAAAATGCTAAATGAATTTTCTCAGACAAGAAAAAAGACCCACGCTAGAAACTTGAACCTATATAAAGAAAGCATCAGGGGATGAATAAATGCATCAAGGTTGGTGCATATTTATGTTGCACTTAAGTGGAAAAAGAAAAGGAAGATCCCTGTGGAACCACTGCTGTCCTGTGCGCTTTCACCTGAAAACTGAGACCGGCCCAGTGATGCACGAAGACCAACCGGATGCCTGTTATGCGCCGGCCTCTGCTTCCGAGTGTGAGGGCACCGATGGAAAGAACGGTGTCAGATTAACAGAGGTAACAGACTCGCACACAATAAAGCAAAGTGAAAACTACAGGAGAGTGTAAGGAAGTTCACAAAGGTACAAATAATGAGATCTCATCTCTTCTGAGAGGTGGAAAAACACTCCCCAAGGAAGGACATTTGGTGTGAATACAGAATCTGGGTCAGGTGGCAGGGGCACTTTTACACAGAAAGAGCAGCATGCACATAAATGTTGGCAGCAAATATAGTCATCTGAATTGTTTTTTGTGTTTATTTAAGTCAGCAGCTTGAGAATCACCTGAAGCAATGACTCAAGGCAGTAGATAAACTTAGGATAACAAAGTTGTCCTCAGCAAAAACCACATCCAGGTTCTCCACCCAGGGCACACACTAACCCCTGACCCTGCAACTCCGTGGGTCACGCTCACACTGTCCGCCACAGAGACTGCAAATGCTCGGTGCACATGCACGTTCAGGTACAGCAGCCACATCGGCTCTAAGAGCTTTGGTACCAAGAATCGCCTGGCCCCATGCGCCCTGGGGGAGGATGGGTAAGAGAATAAGTATTAACTGTGTGCTGACCACACACATGTGAGACAACGTGGTAACTCATGTAATGCTCATCAAGCACGCAAGACAGACATTATTAATCTCATTTTACAAACTAGAAAATGAAGCTGAGAAAAGTAGTAACTTGCTGAGGAACTCAGAAAGCAGCTCTGGCTGGTGTGGCTCAGTGGACTGAGCATCGGCCTAGAAACCAAAAAACTGCAGGTTTGATTCCCAGTCAGGACACAGGTATGGGTTGTGGGCCAGGCCCCTATGGGGGAGGGGGTGCGAAAAGCAACCACACATTGATGTTTCTCTCCGTCTTTTTCCCTTCCTCCCTCTCTCTCTAAAAATAAATAAAAATCTTAAAAAAAAAAAAAAAAAGGAAAGGAGCAGAGGCCGAGTTTGAACACGAGTATCCTGTCCCCACAGTCCCCGCTCTTCCCTCTGTATCACACTAGATTAAAAGCGGCACTGAGACTATCAAGCGTCACATTTTTGCAGCTGCCTAAGAAGAAAGAATTACGAAAGAGACAGCCTGAATCTATAAGTAATGCAAAAATTTAATCTTAACTATTAATCCTGACATGCACCACCAGCCAGCACTGCATAAACACTGCCAGCTGAGAATGCCATCGGTCTGTTTCTCCCTCCTCCTTCATCCCGTCTGTGGAGCTATCACAAGACAGGCCGGCAGAGGGGAAGGGGCCCTGCAGAGCTCTCGGGAACCGGAAGCAATGGGTGACAAAGAACCTATTGAGGTAGAGACCTACTTCAAGGGGGCGGGACCACAAACTGAACAGAAGTTTAAACATGACTTTAAAAGTCGTTCTAACTGAACGATACACTTAAAAACAGTTAAAGTTTATGCTATGTGTTATAAACCACAATTTTTTTTAAAAAAAGCAGAAAAAAAATTTCAGTTCTGTACCTGGCTGCGCTGGATCCTCAGCTCCTTTATTTTAAGTTTCCTTCGATCTTCCAAAGAGAACTCCACTATCGGTCTCTGCATCAGAAGGAGACAGAATGTCATTCACTACATTTCTTAATCTCTGGGTGCAATGAGCTGAGCTGCCCCCCACCACTGCCCTCCTTTCTGCAAGGCGGAGGTGGCCGCTCCCTTACTCTACTCAGAGGTTAGGGGCCAGTTGTGCAAGCAGCCTACCCAGTTTAGAGTTCCTGCCAATCACTTTATTACCTGAGTCACTGCTCACTGCCTACCTCCACTCGCTACTCTTTCCCATCACCCAAACGTCAGGAGGGCACCAGGCACAAAGGAGAGGATCTCAGGATGAGGCTCACCTTCTGAGGCCCGAAGATGGTGGGGTTGTTGTTGACGTGGCGCAGGGCTGCCAGGGCGTGCTCGTGCTCCTGGAACTCCGCGAAGGCGTAGCCCAGGGACTGACCCTTCGTTTTCCCTGGAACTCCTCTGAGGTCCCGCATCACCCTACACTGTGAGTAGAAGAAGAAAAAGAATCAGTAATTACCAGATGAAGAGCTGTCACAGAGTCAACAAGAAATCTGTTATGGGGAGAGATTCTTCATCCAGATCGCCACCACCAGAGCTGTACTGAAATGACACCTGTGACTGTCCGTCTCACTGGGCAGAACACAACTACTGAGAGTACAAAACAAATTGACTTCATACTGTCACGCTCTCCAAGAGTTTAACACCAACCTACAAATCAGCATGCATATAAAACAAACTCGCCAAGGGAAAATGATAACAGCTAACTATTGACAACACATACAAGTTGAGAGGCCCATGGTACCTGAAGCTGCATATCAAGTTATCACTGAGGATAAAGTGTAGTCCCCTCCTCACTGCAGAAACCACTCAGAAAGGAAACCAATGAAGAAGGGCCTGATGGCTTCAGATAAGAAAGACATTTCCGCCGTGGGGAAGAGCCTGCCCAACACGCAGTCTCAGAAAGACAGAACCGAGCTTCAGCTGTCTTTGCTTGGCAATCGGATCCTCTGCTGTGACCTTTCCCTAAATCCTCTAGCTGCATATACTAGGCGTCCTGGGGCACTGAGGCACAGGAAGGAATTCTGGGAAAACTGATCGTTCGCACACTATTACTCCTGGAAGCTGCAACGGTCATTTACGGGTGCGGTCTAGCAGGAGGAACACTTGGATGCTACATTTGGTACAGTCCGGTACCTGCTCTGTGCTAGAACTGGGCCACCTCCTGCAGGGAAATCAAGAAAAGCATAAAATGAGGTTCCTGTCCGCGGGAAGCTTACTATCTTGCTGAGACGCTACACAAACACCCATGAAAGAATTACAGAGAAAATTCAATACAATGCAAGTATTGTAAAACACATACATTTCTCCAGATGATGACAGGTTTTAACCGTGTGCCCACTTGTTAAGTGTTGTGGCACTGACACAAGTAGTAACGCTCCACACAGTTTTGTCAAGAGCAGTGTCAGGTACGTGCTGATGTGGTCACATTCTCTCATGTAATTCCCCGAACACCGACACCACACATTTTGGTGCGGCTTCCGAGATTAGGGAAAGTTTACACTGATGAAACAACACCGGCCATGCTGCCTTCTCAGTCAATACGACCAGTGGTCCACTCTGTGCCTGGTGCTGTGCCAAGGACTGGGAACAACGAGACGACACTTGCTCTCGAAGAGCTCGGTGTGGTCAGAGAAATGGCTGAGAACTGCAGGACGGCGTAGTAAGTAAGCGCTACGACCCAGGGAGGCAAAGGGCGCCGTGGGGAAACCGAGGGGTTTCCGCTCCCGCAGTGTCTGACCACGTCTCGGTGGGGTGAACCCGGTGTCTGTCTCACGCAGCTGCTGCAGACCTGTGCGGCTCCCTGCGCTCAGCACGGGGCCCCGGGAACGCTTACTGTAGGCCAAGGGCGTAAATGGTAATAAAATGCTCTTCTAAAGAACACAGCACACAGATTATTTTCTCTGCAAGAAAATTAACATTACAGCACCTGGTATAATGCTGAGCACACAGCAGGGATTCAATAAATGCTTGCTAAAATACTTCACTAGGGCAGAGACATCCTCACATTCTACTGCAATTTGGTCAGATGTGAAAAGCAGTTCTTAGAAGAGGAAAAAAAAACAGGCATGAAAACTGCCAAACTCAGCCCTGTCTGCTGGCAATGTGTCCAGAGAGAAATCTGTCAATCTGCTGGCAGCACAGCCTGAAAATCAACACTCAGTCTGACCCAGGATGGGCACCAGAGTTCCGAGCAGGCAGGGCCAACGCTCACCTCCTTGATGCGCACCCCCTGCTCCCCTCTGGTGGCATTTAGCAGCAGCTTTCGGAGCTGCCTGTCATCCACAGCCTTGGGGAGATTGTGCAAGCAGAGCCTGGTGCTGGAGACAAAGATGTTCTGGTCCTTCAGTTTCTGATGCTTCAGGAGCTCGAACTGAAAGAACAACAAATTGTTAACAGTCCGATCCACCCTTTAAAAATGCAGGCTCACAGTTCTCCAAAAGAAAAGAACCATGACCCCGTCGAATAACTAGACACATAAAAAGGAGGGAAATCACCCACCCTGCAGCCTTCCGATGCCCGGCACAGGGAGAGGTTCGGGGGGCGAGATGGTGGGAAGCTGACAGAGTCGTGGGCAGAGTCAGACAGAACCCAGCCCAACTTCAATTTTTTTAAGCCACCATTTTTTTTCACCTACTAAGTAGAACTGTAGATCAAAATATAACTTCTGGGCAGTGATGCCAAGCCAAAATGTGGAAATATACATAAAATCCTGACCTCAAAACTTGGTCCAGAGTAAATAATAAATAATACTGTCACTGACATTTATGCCCAGTCCTGATCTACCTGCCAACTCAAACTACCTAGTCCTTCCCAAAGGAAATGCGATGTATTTAAACACTCGAGAGAACACTGTCTCGTCTCTACTCTGCCACCTTGAGGCAAAGGGCTGTCCATGACCAGGAAACGACGTCGGCCCCTCGAGCACCAGCCTCCACCAAGCTGCACAGAGCACAGACCCCAGGGCAGCCTGTCTCTAAAATCAAAAGGATTACACTCTTCTCCTGATTTGTTTTTAAAATTAGATTAGTAGAAAAAAGTTTTAAATTAATCATCAAGCCTCTCATTCCTGCTGCTCCTTGTTTGGCAAAGGTACTAACAAATCACAAAATAAACAGATACTCTGGAAATGAATAGCAAAGGGATATTTGAAGAGGCCTCAGTTTGACAGTCTGACATTCCTTCCAGGAAACGCTGTGCCTGCTGTGAATTACAACGCATATCATCTAGCGAGCTTTTTGCTAGAAAAATTTGTTCTAAGAGAAAATTAAATGAGTCCCCATTGCATTGCGATCGGAAAAGTGCATGCAGTGCCCCCAAATACCATCCTTTCCAGATGCTCTCTACAAAAAAAGGCCAAGAGCTCTAGACAGAAAACCGCACAGAGAAGACACACTGCCTCTCACTGCCGTGATGTTCTCACCTCTGCCCATCACCTTGCAGGTGTCACGGCCAGTTCTGTTAATGGTTATGCGTCGTTACCATTCCAGGCTGGCTTAGCTTTTTAAAAGTAGGCCATACAGGCAAAAGTAAAAGTCACCGGGAACTAACATCACCAAGCAGTAGAGGAAGTGAATGGCGTCAGTTAGCAGTGGAAACTGTCATAATATGAAGCTTTCCAAAAATGATTTTATGATCTATAGAGACATCCTCCTCCTCCCCAAACTGGACATATTAACTATCCCAGGACTCAACATCTACCTTCTTCCCTCCTTATTCCAGCCTATGCTGAACTTCCCTTCTTAGGTTACCCTGCACTTATACTGACACCTAATTATACAGAATACACAGCCCTAGCCTCTGTCTGCTGTATGATCTCCAAGCATACTATTCAGCAAATATTTACTGCTGAGCATTAGAAAAATAAAGAATAAGATCCAGCTTGTGCCCTCACTGGTGCGGCTCAGTAGGTTGAGTGCTGGCCTGTGAATCAAAGGGTCGCTGGTTCAATTCCCAGTCAGGGCACGTGTCTGGGTTGCAGACCAGGCCCCCAGTAGGGCACGTGAGAGGCAACCACACACTGATGTTTCTCTCCCTCCCTTCCCCCCTTTCTCTCAAAATAAATTTAAAAAGTCAAGATCCAGCTCATATAATGGCATATAATGCTGACAGAATGTTATATGCTCATGTAATGTTGGGTTGCTTGCTGTCTCACCTGTGCGCTTTTTTCTCTAACAACAGTGTAAGTGTGGCCTGTCACCGATACTCAGCTCTTTGATAAGCACCTCTGAATTCAATAATTACTATCCATTGATGTATATAATACCTCATGCAAGCCCTGGAGGCGATGCCTGACCTACTCACCCGTTCTCTTTTGGCCATATCAGCAGCGCTCACACCCTCCGCAGCCTTCGTCCCAGCACGAATCACTGCGGAAAGAGGGAAAAGGGCCAACACATCAGCAAGGGAATTTTCACTGAGCAACAAGAGGAATGTGATTTGAATGATGCAAGTCTTTGCACAGGGCCCAGAGGACTATGCTGGCCAGGACACGGTGGCATTTGGGTAGGACCAGAAATAGGCTACAGGGCTAAATTCTCAGCTCGGAGCTGCTCTCAAGAACTAACACTCTGAACATTGTGTAATTTTGTTCCTCTTCTCCTTCCCTGCCCTCAAAGAAGCTCCATCAACATGCTCAACATCGGATGGAAAAGCCTAGAGAAAGTTCTGAAAATAAATACATGTTAGGCGTTTGGATTGCAAAAATGCTCCACCTATAACCTGCCCTTGGAATTCTGCTCCTTCTCATGCACTTGGGGGCCATTACTAAGTGGTGAAATAAGCCAGCCCAGAAACCAGCCACATCACCATATGGAGGCCCAGTATCGGAGGCCAGTGACCTGACATCACTGGTCTGGGCCGTGTGGCTCCGCAGCAAGTGGACCGACAAATACTGTATGACACAGAGGCAGGGACTCTCTATTTTTCTGTTAAAATCAAACCTGATTTCTGACCATCTTTCTGGAATTAAGGGGAAGGCACTCAATGCACTTTATTTTTTTTTCCTTGAAGATTTTATTTATTTATTTTTACAGAGGGGAAGGATGGGAGAAAGAGGGAGAGAAACATCAATGTGTGGTTGCCTCTCACACGCCCCCTACTGGGGACCTGGCCTGCAACAGGCATGTGCCCTGACTGGGAATGCAACCACGGACCCTTTCTTTGGCTTGCAGGCTGGCACTCAATCCACTGAGCAACACCAGCCAGGGTTCAGTGCACATTTTAGATCCATGAATATCCAAAAGAGTAATTTTAGTCATAATGTTCACTCCTTCAGAAAACCTCTTATTAAAAATGATGATAGGAAGCAAAGGTAATTTGAGGTTTTCCTCCCTCTTCGCCCTCTGATGAAAAGGACTAAAGGCAAGCGGGCACAAAACACAATGAGCCTGGTTCGTTTACAAATCGGGTAAGGTTTTCCTACGAGAAAGCGACATCTGCTAAAGTGGAGTAATAATACAACACTGCTGAAGGGGACACTTGGGGTTTTAATGGGGAATGTGCCCCAAACATAACGTTGCCAGGCCACTGTCGCGGCACCAGGCCAGCCCCCTGAGGCCCAGCCTGCGTCTCCCTTCTGCTACTCACAGCCTTCACGGGCCAGGTAGAGGTTCCGGGTCCCCGTCGGCTTCTTCACCTTCTTTGTCCGGAGCTTTGCGGCCTCGTCGCGGGTCACTGCCAGGTCTACCCTGAGCTGCCTGCCGTCCAGTTTCAGCCCAGCACCCTGTTAACACATTGCAACCCTCTCTCTTAAAACACATCATACATAAAAACTAAACACCTGACAAGGGGCACCTAAGGAACGGGAAACAGAAGACCCAACTAAGCCATGGAGCCCAACCCCAAGATGTTGGGGCCCAGCTAATGGCATTTACTAAAGCTGTGCAAAAGGCCGGGTGTGTACGCAGGGCAGTCAGCAGTGAATAACTTACTTTATGGGCAGTGATCAGGCCCAAAGGAAGCCCAAACTAAGGAGAAACGATCTGTAAACTGACAAAGTTTTAGTAATCTAAAGAAAGCTACTGAAATGATACTGTTAACTCCACTGAAGAAAATTTAAGGGACTATGGTGATACCATATAGCTATGTGAAAACAATTTATACTCGGTTATGGAACACACAGAAAAATCCCCCATCACCCACACACTCTCTCTCAAACACTCAACTACACTTCACAGACGGCCTGGTCCCTTCTCGTTCCAATCCTTCGTGTCATCAGCCTGGGACAGAGGCTGACATACGGACAGCGATCAGTAAGTATCAGGTACATCTTTCTGTCCGTTCTCACCTATAAAATAGGGATAATAACGGTACCAACCTTACATAACCCTATAGGGCTGATATGAGGATTAAATAAGGCGATATAGGTGCCTATCTAATGAGACTATCTAACTAAGTGTTCAAAAACGTTAACTTTAGTATTATTGCTTTACTACTATTTTACTGTTTGTTACACAAATACCAGGTGTCGCCCCCTACAACCCACCACTGCCTCTACCTGTCACAGGTAGAGGACACGTCTTCCTCACCTCGGTCTCTGGAGCAGCAGCTGCAAGGCATTTCTGAGCTGCCTCTTGAGTCGTGAACTGAGCAAACGCGCAGCCTGCACAGGGAGACAAAACCAAGTGAGAGGCTACACTCCCATGGCCCACCAGGGAGCCACCCACGACACGCAGTGGTGGCAGGCTGACGCACGAGGAGGGAGCGGTAGCTTCCTTCTGCTAAATATCGCATGAGACAGGCACTGTGCCGGGCACTGAAGGGTCGAAGATAGATAAAACAGCACACCTGCTCGCAAGTGAAATATTATTACTTCCTTCATCTTTTCTAAGCTCCTAGAACTTTGGTCCTACTTCCGCCAGGATGGAGGCATAGGTGGAGACGCTGTGCTTTCTCACACAACCAAGTTTAGAGACAACAAAATATTAGCAACAGAAAACACAGCCAGAACACAGAAAATTGAACTTTTCGGAAGTCTGATAACAACGAATTCTTCAGCCTGACCGGTAAGAGGGCGAAACCAGCAGCTGGCGGAGCGGGGTTGCACAGGAAAACTCGGTCAGAAGGACTCAGACGCACGGATCCCAGGCGTGGGGTTGCAAAGGGCGGACCCAGTGAGCAACTTAGTGAGCGACCTAGTGAGCACAACCAGTGAGCGACCCAGTGAGCGACCTGCGAATCCGGGAGGGTGAAGGGAGGCAGGTTGACTGTGGTGGCACATTCCTGCGCAGATAGACCGGCGAGGGAGTGGGCAGTGAGACGGGACCGAGCAGGTCCCAGCATAGGGAGGCAGCAGAGATGGCCGCCATTTCCTGACTCTGACCCCACCACCACATATAGCATCACAACCCAGCGACCCCGCCCCGCCCCTAAGGCTCCGCTCCTCATACTTAATGGGCACGAACAGACCGAAAATGGCTCAAGAAGATCTCAAAGCCCCAGAGCCCATAAATCTAAGTGACAAAGAAATAGCAAAACTTTCAGATGCACAGTTCAAAACACTGGTCATCAGGATGCTCACAGAACTGGTTGATTTTAGTCACAAATTAGAGAAACATATGAAGGCTAAACTAATTGAAATGAATGGCAATGCACAGGAAACCAATAGTAATGGAAAGGAAACTGGGACTCAAATCAAAGGAGTGGACCAGAAGGAAGAAAAAAATGACCAACCAGAAAAGAATGAAGAAACAAGAATTCAAAAAAATGAGGAGAGACTTAGGAATCTCCAGGACATCTTTAAACGCTCCAACATCCGAATTATAGAAGTATCAGAATGGGAAAGGAACAGCCACCAGTGGAAAACTTATTTGAACAAACAATAAAGGAGAATTTCCCCAATCTGGCAAAGGCAATAGACTTCCAGGAAATCCAGGAAGCTCAGAAAGTCCCAAAGAAGTTGTACCCAAGAAGGAACACACCAAGACACATCATTACATTAGGCAAGATTAAAATGAAGGAGAGAATTTTAGAAGCAGTGAGAGATAAGGGGACAGTTAGCTACAAAGGAGTTCCCATCAGACTGTCAGCGGATTTCTCAAGAGACCTTACAGGCAACAAGGGGCTGGAAAGAAGTTTTCCAAGTCATGAAATCCAAAGACCTACATCCAAGATTGCTCTATCCAGCAAAGCTTTCATTTAGAATGGAAGGGCAGATAAAGTGCTTCTCAGATAAGATCAAATTCAAGGAGTTCATCATCATCAAGCCCTTATTATATGAAATGTCAAAGGGACTTATCTAAGAAAAAGAAGATAAAAAAGATGAACAGTGAAAGGACAGCAAACTCACAGATATTAACAACCACATCTAAAACAAAAGCAAGCTAAAAGGACAGCTAGATCAGGAGTGGAAACATAGAAATGAAGATCTCATGGAGGGTTAGCAACAGGGGAGTGGGAAGAGGAGAAGCGGGGAGAAGGTACAGAGAATAAGTAGCATAGACGGTAAGTAGAAAATAGATAGGGGGAGGGCAAGAATAGTATGGGAAATATAGAATCCAAAGAACTTGAGACACATGGTCATAAACTAAAAGGGGGGAATGGCAGGGGTGGGGGATGCAGGGTGGAGGGGAATGAAGGGGGGAATAGAACAACTGTAATGGTATAATCAATAAAATAAAAATTTAAAAAAAAAAAGAACTTTGGTCTTATCATCTCTCTCCTTAGTAACAAACATCCACAGAAAATGCTGGAGAAATCTCAGCCTAACACTTTATTAGGCATCACTTACTGCATGCCAATCAGAGGATCTAGCAACTGAGGCAGCGATCACTTAACCCTAAAATAGATTACAGCTCTCACTGCCATCACTGTTTCCTGGGAGGCATTAGACAAGGGGACTCTGCCTCCTGCAGTCAAAGGCCCAGACTCTGTCAAACGAACACAGTGGTGAACAAGGCACCCGTGTGCTCAGTTCCTCACTCCTGCTACACAGCTTCCACGGGTGCCTCTCACTGGTTAGATGCAGGGTCAATCGGCCCACCCAATTTTCTGCTATTGAAAAAAAGCAGCTTTTATAAGCAAAGAAAAAAGTTCACCTTTTGGTAAGCTCAAAAAAAAAAAGAAAGAAATACAAGCTTCATAATATTTGGTTAGTATTCCCTCACATATAGGAACATTACATTTCCTAAAGCTACTGGGACCCTGCTCTTTTGTCCCCTATTAGAATGAATGCCAGCCCTGGCTGGTGTGGCTCAGCTACTTGGGTGCTGTCCTGCAAACCGGAAGGTCCCGGTTTGACCCCCAGTCAGGGCACATGCCGAGATGGAGGGTCCAGTTCCTGGACACCACACAAACGAAAGGCAACCAATCGATGTTTCTCTCCCTCCCTTTCTCCCTCCCTTCCCCTCTCTCTAAGCTCTCTCTCCCTTCTCTTTCTAAAAGCAATAAAAAATGTCCTCAGGCGAGGGTTTAAAAAAAAGAATGACTGACAGCAGCCTACCTGAAGGAATGCATCAGCAGCCCAGCCCAGGGTCATGGTCTGCTGAGGTCTTTCCTGCCACCTCGGAGGCAGTCCGAGTGCCCCAGAGTGCCCCACCCCGCTGGTCCTCCATTTACATTTCTATGATAGCACCGGCCAGGTGGCATCTTCCCAAAATGACTGCACGCCTCGGGAATAAGGACTATGTTTCTTAGCTGTCTCTGTATCCCTAGCACCTACCATAATGCCTTAATATTCAATAAATATTCAATATTAATATTCAATATAAAGAAACAAATAATGAAGAAATATGGGGGGAGAGGAACGTTTCTAATAGGCAGATTAGCCTATTTGTCCAGTATGAAAAAAACGAGTACTTCTCTCTGAGTGGGTAAGAATTTTATCCTTGGAACTTCCAGAGTGAGTACTGGGTTCCGTGTTAACACCTCCCTAGAAGTCTGCAGATAATATTCAGCTCTTCCAGGCATCGAAACGGCATGACGACAGGGATAAACGGGAGGAGGGGGCCAAGGCTATGTGAGTGAACAGGCAGAAAAAGGGCCAGAAAAATTTAGTATGGGCTAGGGAAAGGCATGCATTAAGAAATATGAAAACTATGCTTATTAAGATCATTAACTCAGCTGCCATCAACAGACCAAAATAGAGACTGTAGAGAATGTCGTCAATTATAGACAACATTCTGAAAATACCTACCGATGCACCCTGTGCTCAAACAGGACAAAAGACATCACGGTGAAGCAATATCCCACCACACCTGGGACATTCTGTGCAACTCTAGTTGTCCATTTTTAGAAAAACGTACTGGAAATGGAGAAGGTCCAAGAAGAATAATTGAATATCAGAGCTAAAAGACCTTAAGTGATTACTCTGGTTAAACCCACTAATTTTACAGATAGGAAACTGAAGCCCCCAGCAGTGCAATGGTTTGCCAACATCACCCGGCTGGCCAGTGGCTTAGCTGGGATTAGATCACTAATCTCCAGGAAGCGGTTCCATTTCTTTCTATCACAGGGCCTAATGTACATCTTTCTTAGGCAAGTAAAACCCAGAAAATGCTCAGGTCTCATCAGTTTGGAAAATAAGGAGATTTAGAATGTAGGTTATTAATCCACGGATAAGCTCCGCAGAGCCCAGAAACCCTCAGAAGTGGCATTTTTCTGAGGAGAGAGTTCACAGCTTTTGGTAGATCGCAAAGGAATCAAGAATCAAAATGAATTAAGAATTCACTGCTTCAGGAGAACAGCAGCAACTGATGGAATCAAAGATGATGAATGGGTTGAAAAGATGTCACCTAACAACAACATACTGAAATAAGGAGTGGTCGGCCCTGGAAGCTCAAAAGAAATGGCTTCAGGGGGGAGAACCGAAGGCGGCACTGCTGTTACAGTTTTCTTTCCGACTGTAAACACTGCAGGCAGTTTCCATCAGCTTCCCGCTCCCCCAAATGCAACTAAAAAAGATCCCAGTAGTGTCAAGCTATGTGGAATGATTAATACCCATGAGATTCTATCACACTTGAAATTTAAAGAACAAATGGAATTCATTATCCTAAAGTAAACGAGCAAGGGCCTTATCAAGCTAGAAAAATTATGGCTGGCAGCCCCATGAAAGATGCTGAATCTGACATCGTGAATGACAACCTCAGAACGTCCTTGGTGCTTCTGTGGACCACAGACACCTGGACCGAACATGGACCCCTCAAGGGCATGCGTGAGGCTCTCATGTAACCGCGTCAGAGCAATGGCAGTGCCCCCACGCTTTTAGGGCCTGACCTGCTGACAGCAAATACCTTTGGAATGCTCTGTGTCTGGATGCAGGACAATACGGACATATTTCAGGTCTCCAAATTGCTGGAGGAGCTCACCAAGGTCTTCTTCCTCTGAGTCAAAGGACAGGTTTCTACAGAAGACAATTAGGTCACAAAGAAAGGTCAGTTACAGCCCTGGCTGGTGTAGCTCAGTGGATTGAGTGCAGGCCTGTGAAGCGAGGGGTCACCGGTTCAATTCCCAGTCAGGGCACATGCCTGGGTTGCACGCCTGTTCCCAGCAGAGAACACACGAGAAGCAACCATACATTGATATTTCTCTCCCTCTCTCCTTCCCTTCCCCTCTAAATATAAATGAATAAAAATCTTTAAAAATAAATATGATGACAAAAAATTTTTAAAAAAGGTCAGTTACAGAAGTGAGATCCTGTGCTCTGGTCACAGCGCGCGTGAGTCAGACACCAACTCCCTGGCTCGTGACCACACTCCCTCATCAGGAGCAGCACCGAAAGGGTGACCGCCAGTGGCCAAGCCTCTAATATGGGGCTCTGGCCCTGACCTTCCTGGGTCAGATTCTCTCTCCCAGGAATTAAAACTCGAACAGACATATACAAAGAGTAGAAGCTGCAGATGCACATTCACTTCGAACAGCAGTGCTCCACCCGAGGGAAACTTCCAGGAGCCGAGAACGTTCTGTATCTTGACCCGGGCAGTGGATACTTGGGTATATGGACACATCCATATACAAAGATGTATATGTAACTGCATGAGTATGCTCATGTATATAAATATGAACAATTTTGCTGACCTGTACGCTCAGATTAATGCACTTTATAAAACCTGTAATACCTTAAGAAGTTAAAAAAGTGGTGGGATGTCCTCAGGGAAAAGACCCACAGCCGTCTGCAGTGGGGGTCCGGAAATGTCCACGGTTTCACCCCCTTCTTGAGGTTTGCTATTTGACAACTTTGATTCTGTGAGCCAACCTAACATTTATCCAACAAACCTTAACTGGCCAAAATTAGTTTCCCTTATTATTAAAATTAGTTTCCCTCATTACAAAAAACTCACAGTAGACTAATGAGAAAAGTCTCACATTTGATAAGCCGTTTTCTCCTCTGTGTCGCTATCAAATCCAGGTTTCTGTTAAATTTTAAAAAAGTCAGAGAATCCTTCAAGTGAAGAGAGAGATTAGAAAAGTACACACTGGCTGTTACAAAACACTCGCGGGGTGTGAAGTGCGGCACAGGGCATACAGTGGACAGCATCGTAGTGACCGTGTGCGGTGCCGGGGGCACCAGACCTACAGGGCAGATTGCTTTGTAAATTGTAACGTCGAACCACTATGCTGTGCAGCTGAAATTAATAGAAAATAATACTGAATGTCAACTGTAATTGAAATTTTTTTAAAAAACAAAGTCTTTTTCTTTAAAAAAAAAATTGGAAGCTAAACAACAAAACAAATAAGTAAGCAAAATAAAAACAAAGACACTGAAACAGAGAACAGGGGGACAGTGACCAGAGGGGAGAAGGGAGGGAATTTCAGGGGGAAAAGGGGAAGTATTTACAGGAACTAGTATAAAGGACACATGGACAACAACTAAGGGGGGTGGACATGGGAGGGAGGTGGGGAGCACTGGGGGGGCGAGGCTGGGATGGGAGTAAAAAACAGAAAACTATACTTGAACAATAATTAAATAAATTTAAAAAAGAAAATTTAAAAAATTTAAGAGCTTTGTTTTTTTTAAAGAAAATCTTTCACAATAACTCAAAAACAAACGCAATGAAGTTTAATGGCTAAGTGCAAAAAAAGAAAATCACACATTTTCTCCATGGGATTTAAGAAATGTTGGAAGGAGATTCTGTTCTACTAAATCTCAACACACTGTACAGTCCTCCTCTCTCCGCTATGCATAGCCTTCGGGGTAAGGAAAAGTCCCAAAGAAGTGTCTACAGTTTTACTTCTCTTACACTGAGTTAACGTCCCCATAAATGATTCTATCTTATGGAGTACCTGAGATTAAAAAAATAAATGTTCTGCAATAAGACACGTCCTATCTACATGCCTCCTACTTTGCCTACATGACAATGTGCATAGTTTTCTTTCTTCCATCCCTTTACCTTCCGAAGTTCTTTGTTCATCTACTACATAGACACAGAACAATCCTCGGTATTGATGCCACAGGCTTCCAAGTGTGGTGTTCCTTCCTTCCGGTTAGAATCCTCTATGAGCACAAAACTATTCTATGGCGATTCCATGTAACACAGTAACAAGGAATTATGGACACGCCGTGAGGAAGAAAGTGGGTTACAGCGCAGCATGTCCAGGCTGAACTCATCTTGTAAATCTGACAGTGTGGGCTGTGTGGCGGGTCTTCTCTGAGTAGTGATTACAATGAATTTTGCGTGTCTTTTGGCATATTTATTTCCTAAGTATCTTACACTAAACATAAATTATTGGTACAATAAAAACAATCTTAAAAGATTGCACAAGAGGATCAAATAACACATCTCTAAAATAAGATTCAACTGGTCCTGCACACTGGTACTTCGGAACGAACAAGACGGCCTACGGGAGGCACACGGAAGACATGCCGACGTCCTGAAGAGGCCGATCTACCGCAGTCGGCAGCACTAAAACAGCAATGGCAACGTGAAATGAAATGCAGCTCCACCTGACTGACTCCCTCCCTCGGTTTCCCTAGAGACAGACGGGAGACCTTCCTCTATTTGGGACACGGCTATAGAAGGTGACTTAGGCAGGAGAAGAAATTGTTTGGGACCAGTAGTGTCACCCTCCCCGGGACTCCCCTTAAAACAAAGGCCAGCAAGCAGAATACTTCTCATGGTTGAAGAGCTCCTCTGTTACCAATGATGCCACACCGATCACAGAGAATGAAAAATGATGACCCCTGCTACTCACCTTCTGTCTATAGTTCTGATTCTCCTACATTTCTCACTGTTTGGCATGTTCCTAGAGCCAGATGTGCTAATGGTCTTAGAGGCATCTAACTTTCTGGCCTAGCTTATAAAACCAGTGCAAAAAAAAAAAGAGAGATAGAAAAAGAAAAAATGAAGGGAGGGAGGGAGGGAAGGAAGGAAGGAGAAACCTATGACGGTGGCACAAATAGAACAATTCTTAGAGCAAAAAGGCGTACCTTACAAAAACAGTTTTCCCTTCATTCACATCAGAGGGTAGTTTCCTCTTCTTTTTCTTTGAGACTTGTACATCTAAAGTAAAATGAAGACCAACAAACTTAAAAATACTAGTGTAAGCCATACAGCAAAGGGCTAACTTCTTAAATATATAAAAATCTTGCACAAATCAATTAAAAATGAACAAAGGATATGCAAATACATGAAAAGATGCTCTTACTCACTCATAATTAAAGAACACAAGAAATGAGATGCTATTTTTCACCAACAGACTGGCAAAAACCAAAAAGATCAATGAAATCCAATGTAGTAAGGGTGTGAGAAAAAAGATCCCATATACTGCTATGTAGTTTTTAGAAATATAAAACATGTAGCCCTGACAGGTGGGGCTCAGTGGCTAGATGTTGTCCCACAAACTAAAAGGTCACCAGTTTTATTCCTGGTCAGGGCACATTCCTGATGCCTGAGTTGTGGGCCTGGTCCCAGGTTGGGGGCATGTAATCGATGCTTCTTTTGCACATTGATGTTTCTCTCCCTCCCTCCCCCTCGCTCTAAAAAATAAATAAAACTTTTTTAAAAAGTGTGTGTGTGTGTATATGTGTGTGGCGCCCTGGCTATTGTGGCTCAGTGGATTGAGCGCCAGCCTGCAAACCAAAGGGTCACTGGTTCGGTTCCCAGTTGGGGTACCTGCCTGGGTTGCAGACAAGGTCCCCAGTTGGGGACATACCAGAGGCAACCACACATTGCTATTTTTCTCCCTCTCTTTCTCCCTCCCTCCCCCTCTCTAAAAATTAGTAAATAAAACCTTTAAAAAAAGCAAAATTAAATTTAAAATAAAAAATATGTATTCAATATGTGTGTGTGTGTGTGTGTGTGTGTGTGTGTATATTAAAAACATGTAGGACAGCCCTGGCTGGTGTGGCTCAGTTGCTTGGAGCACAGTCCTGTAGACGGAGAGGCTGAGGGTTGATCCAGACTCAGGGCACATACGAAAGGCAACCAATCGCTGTTTATCTCTCAAATCAATGTTTCTCTCTCTGTTTTTCCCCTGCCCCTTCTAAAGCAATGAAAAAATGTCCTTGGGTGAGGATTTAAAAAAAAAACAAACATGTAGAACATTTGAGAAGGAAAAAATAACACATACATTCATACACATAATATATACTATATTGTGTATGTGTGTGTTTACCCTTTAAGGTATTAATTACCTTTAGATACACCAGAAATGTGTAACAATGGCCATCTCTGGGGAGGGGCCCTAAGTGACTGAGGACCTAGCCATAAGGGAGACTCACTGTCTGTTTTTAAGAAAAGACATACGTGTTTACGTACACACAGAAACTCTCTGGGAAGACACAAAAGAAACAGCAGTGGTTACTTCGGGGGTCCCTGGGGGATTGGCGAGGGAGTTTTACTTTCCATATTATACTCTTCCACAGTGTATTTTTTATTAATGTTCTCTCATTATTATGTACTAGTCCTACAATTTTTTCAAGTGAAAGAACAGTAATAGACAGCTGAATCTGGTTGTAGAATGCAAGGTCTCATAGTCCCTTCAGTATAAAAGTGCCTTTGATTCTAAGGTATCTACCATTCTCTCCTCACGGAAAAAGCTTATTTCTTCAGATTTCTCATATGGGCCAACCAACACGCCAAATTTACAGGAAAGGAGAAGGGAGACACCTGGGAAGTAAATAAAAACCTCCTTCTAGATGAACTAAAGGACCAGCGATTGGCCACTCCTCATTCTGTAATGACCTTTCTCCCTGAATAAATGTGTTAAGTTTATTCAACATTCTTGATAAATGTAGCAAGTAACAGGGTTTACCCCAAGGGGTCCTTTATCCCCAACTCAACTGAAAAGAATTGTTTAAAATCCACCTTCCTCTTAGATGCAATATCCCATTTACCCAGTTAGCCATTCAACTTGGATAATCAAGAGAGAGAGGTGGTGCCTCAGCATTAAGCCACGTTTTAAATTCTCTAGGAATCCTGACCCTCAAACATCACTCCAAACTCATTTTAAAAACAAAACAAAAATCTCTTCAGGAGGAACACAAAGTTTTCCTCTGCAGCCCTTCAACACCCATTTGACACAGCACCTCAGGGCTCTACTTAAAGGGCCCGTGCTGCAGTGATGCGGATTCCTCAGTGTTAATCCAAAGACCACAGGGCAGGCAAACCTTCATCCTCCTGCCCTTCAGTGTCGGTGTCGCTCTGAGCCAGGTCCTCTCCACCATCACCTCCATCACTGTCCTCCTCCAGGTCGCTGTCCTCATCAGACTGGTCCTCTTCACTGCTTTCTGCGGGTGCTGCTCTCTTGGTGGCTCTGCAACGGCACAGTTCAGAAGTGGGGATGTGGAGGACGGGGGGGGGGGGGGTGTATCCCACTTCCTGACACATGGCAATTCTGCAATGATGGGGGCAGGAAAAGGCATTTTTCCCCTTGGAGACAGTCCTGAATCTTCCTGTTGTCTCAGAACAAGCTGAGTTGCTTACCTCTTGTGAATTTGCACAGGCTTGGCCACCTTTGATTTTTTATTCTTCTCCTCCTCTTCATCATCATCATCACCTTCTTCTTCTTCCGTATGACCGTCATCATCACCACCCTCTTCTTTCCCCCTACTCTCTTCTTCCCTGCCATTCTCTTTACCTAGTTTCTGATGTTTGGGTTCAGGTCTCTTCTCCTCACCTGCACAGGGAGGTAAAGAAAGTCAGGAATTAATTCAGTATCTAAATGAAGGTTATTTTAACAACAGTAACTAATACCCTCAAGTTTCTAGTTTCTTTAGTTTTACAGAGTCTCATGTATTTTTCTCATTTTCTCACTGTATAGAATAAAAGAAAGCATGAACAAAGAAGCCAAAAAAAGCAAACGATAACAAAACCCCTCATCACTGAGATTCCTTTGGAGTCTGTCCCATTCATTCATCGAAAGCCTAAAGGTGACCTGGCTCAGAATGAGAGAAACAGCAGCTGAACCCCCACGAACAACCTACCCTCACACACGAAAGCCAGCTCAGTGCACACTCTGGAGCCCAGCCACGAACTTCAACCTCAGTGAGTTCTGTTCTCTGAGCTCCTGGTAGCCTAAAGCCAATTGTTTTCTAAATAAAATGCAAGCTTTAAGTTCCCCCATGCTTAATGTTGCCTCATTCCTTATTATGAAAAGCTGGGAAAGGAGAGCAAGTAGAGGGAACAGTGAACTCAGACCAACCCCTCTCTCACATCCACACTCAGGAGAGGCTAAGACTATGTTTAGGGACCAGACCACCAGATGGGACTACATGAATTAGCAGAGAGCTCGGAGTTTCTGAGCCAGTAGGAATTCAAAGTTTTTCTTACTTCTCAGTCTCATTTTGGGGTGGGGGGCAGGTAATCTTATGCTTTTGCTATCTCCATTCCAATCTCACTGACAGGCAGGCTCCCTTATACTTTTATAGTAGAGTCTTCTCTGCACTCACCCCAAAACACACAACCCCTCCTACCCAGCACCACTCTTACCTGGGGCAGAGGCAGACTGTGTACTTTTATATTTATCTTTTGCCACGGCCCAATCCACAGCTATCGTCCGCCCTGGAAGACAGAAAAGGAACATCTTTTTAACATTTCTATCTTCTGTAAATGACTTCTTATTCATCAAAGAAACAGTAAGAACAAAAAGAAAAAAACTATCCTGCCAATTCAGAAGATGGTGGTCTTCAAACAAAACTGTGAGCCCTGGCTGGTGTAGCTCAGTGGACTGAGTGCCAGCCTACGAACCAAAAGGTCACTGTTTGATTCCCAGTCAGGGCACATACCTGGGTTGCAGGCCAGGTCCCCAGTTGGGGGTGTGCAAAAGGTACTGTACTGATATAGCTCTCACACATCGATGTTTCTCTCCCTGTCTTCCTCCCTCCCCTCCCCTCTTTCTAAAAATAAATAAATAACGTTTTTTTAAATAAAATAAAATATAACTGCAAGTAGCTGTCTATTCTTTTTAAATATTAACCTTTTTATCAATGAACAGAAAGTTTGCCTTTCTACACAGCCATCACACTTGGGATAAGACAGAATTTTAAAAAATTAGAACAGTGCTTCTGGTTAGATCAAGTTTCCAGTTAGACTGGCAAGAGGCAAAACAGGCACACTAGAATAATTTGCACCATACTCACAGGTTAGGCTGTCTCTAAACCAAGCCCTTCTTTAGCACCTGGTAAATCAATACCCACAGTAGCATCACTGTCAGTTTCATTGCCCACGGATACTGAATGATGCTGATAACCAGGAGGGAAAACCCTAGACAGCACCCACATCTACCGGTGATTATTTCTGTGATATTTTTTCATTAGGGATTTCAAAGAACACTCATCACCACATAAAGAAAAGAGAATAATGACATGAATTCTTTTGAGTTTAACCCCAGATCAAGTATTAAGAGTATTTCACCAACATAGCTTCTAGAGTAGCAGTGAGACTCTCAACAATGCAAAACGCCTTTTCAAAATGTAGGAAGTGGGTTACTGTGCTCATTCACCCAAACAGCAGAAATACCTAGGTCAATGGTATGGCATGGGTATAGAAAACTTACCCTTTATCTCTTTCATGTTCATACTTTTCAGAGCCTTTCCTGCTTCTAGGAGGTTTTTGAACTGAACAAAGGCAAAACCACGCATCTTTCCATCTGTGTGCAAACGTACAAAGACGTTAGAAGCAGCAGGTGAGAAGCCAGGAAACCTAAGAAGAAAATTACGGCAACCCAGTGTGGCCAAATCCTGCCAACCAGCCAGCCTCTTAGCCAAAGCTTTCTGTCCACCTGCTGAGTATACACTGTGTTGGGCTCAGAGAGAGCAGAGCACCTTCTCAAACTGTAACTTGTCTTCTAAAGCTAGTTCTGAGCTAACTAAAAATACCACTGGGGATACCTAAACTAAAAATACCCAACGAAAAATACCACCAGCACTATTACATATGTTTTTATTATTTGTCAGACACTGTGCCTAATACTTTACATATATCACATCATCTGGGGCTCATATTTCTAGTATTCTTTTTTTATTATTTTTTATTGTTGACACTATTACGGATGTCCCCCATTCTCCCCTCCCTTTGCCCACCTCCATCCAGGTGTAGTTCTAGTTCTAGGTGCTTAGTTCAAGAGTGATATGAAAAAAAAAACATTATGTTCAATAATATTAATCTAACTCATGCCGAAGGAAGGTCTACTAGTACCTGGCTTCCTAGGGATGTTAACTTCTAGGACAGCTCCATACTGAGCAAATACTGTCTTCAAGTCATCTTCTAAACACTGAGGACAAAAGTAAAGAAGGAAAAAGAAATTATCCCAGCAAATAAACAGGAAACACTAATTACTAAGTTAGTTTGTTAATAACAACTTGAATATTTTTACTCTTTGTTTACTTTTGAAATTAGGACAAACATTTCTAAACAGAAGACATCCTGCTTGGTAGCTATGAAGCAAAAAAGGACGGACAGCAGAGAGCTTTTCCTCCCACACTTTCTCAAGAAGGCATCCTCTCACTGTCCTAATAAGTTCTTATGTACACGAGCCCATTTTCCAAGTTCAACAAGACTCAGGTTCATTCCCAAAACGCATTACGCCCAACCCGCCGTCCTTGTGAGGAGTTCCACCCATGAGCACCCACGGCTCTGCAAATAGGCAGCACCACTGTTCTCCATCACTCACCTTAAAGCTCAGATTCCGAATAATCAATCTGGCTTTCTTATCAGCCACTTTGGCTTTTTTAGGCTTCTGCTCCTTCTTTGGGGACTCTGAATTTTCTAGAAAAACGAGAGGGAATGGACTAAGTCTGTGCTCCACAGCCACCCACCTCCAGGCCCAGAACATCACAGGAAAAAAGCTACTAGCAACACACGGCATTTACATGGGGTTCAGTATGGCAACCCCCAGAACCACCAGATTTCCCAGACTTACAAGTAAACAAAAGGCTAAAATGAGTAACAAAATACATTACATGGTTTTGGATATCAAAAGCAAATTCAGGAAGCTTTAAATTTAAAAGCTCCCTCCACCTCTACCGCACCTTTCCACCTCCTCCTCACCCAGAGAGAAAACTCCCTTTGGTTACTGGAAACTCACCCTTTCCTCCCTTTTCCTTGGACTTGTTCCTCAGCTTTTTCTTGGCAATGCTCACGTTGATCTTGCTGCCCTCAAAGGTGGTAATCTCCTTCAGGGCCCTCTGAACGTCTTCTGGCATAGAAAATGTGACATAGCCAAAGCCTCGACATGCCTTACTCCCTGAGCAATAGCCGGTGGGGGAGAGAGAACACCATTACTACCAACCCTTAGTGATCAATATCAAATTAAACCTTCCCAAAGCAGCTGTAAATCTCTTATCTCACTTTATCTTCAGAACACACTAAGGTAAGTAAAGGAAATACTATCATCCCTTCTTTCCAAAAGAATAATTTGACATAGAGGAAAGTAAGTGAATTGGTTAATATCCCCCAGGGTATTAGCACCTGAATTAATTCTTCATTACCAGCCTCATATTCTTTCCATGGGACTCTCCCAATATAATGGCCACAGAGAAGAATATTAGGACCAATCAAATGAACAGTTGCAAAATGAAAACTGTAACCCACCTTTACCTTTTCTGGTATGTTTTTAATTTAACATTTTTGGTAGTAAAATTTTAAGTAATTTACTGCATCAAAAAGGAAAAAGATGGACCAAATAGTCTGTCTACTACTCAAAGAAACACAGCTCACATGTTCTGCTTCTTTTTCAACTACACTTGAACCTGCGTCAGTTACAAGCCCTGAAACACAGGACACTGATTCACCTAAACTTAAAGTTGACACTTGGAACAAGGAAAGTATACTGTGATCTGGAGATAGGTTTCTTTTCTCTGGGACACCATGGGGGTAGGGGCACATACTCAGATGTGGCCAAAACCATGGGGAGAGGGGCACAGGACACCAGTGCCTACTGGTTGTTCTCCTGAAAGGCAAAGGCCACCTAGAGAGACAGCTTGGTGACTCAGAAGGGAACTAAATGTATGTATGTTCTGGGTAACACTGGGTGCCTATCTCAAGTATCCCTTGAAGTCTAGGTCAGAGGAAGGAATGCTTCTACAATTAAAACCCTTACAATTCACGCTCACTCTGATACATGCCAACCCTCCCTCACAGTGAGGTGATGAGCATCGAGCAGAATGGGAAGCATACAGCAGTACTCCACAAGCCGGTAAAATATCTCCAAGTGGCCCAAGCCGGAAACCCTGGACTCACACTGACTCTGACTCCTTTTTTTCTCCTACCCCACACCTGACCCATCAGCAAATCCCCTCCTTTTTAACTTCAAAACACCCATATTCCAATCACTTTTTACCACCCATTGCTATTATCCTGGTCCAACACCATGATCTCTCACCTGGATTATTGCAAGAGGTCTCCCTGCTTCTGTCCTGATCTCCAACAGCCTATTCACAACACAACAGCCTGACAGCATCTTTCAAAATGAAAGCCAGATCCTACTTACCAGTCCCTGCTCAAAACCAGTAGTTTCCCGCCTCCTTAGAGTAAAAGTCAAAGCCCTTGCAATGGCCTATAAGGTCCTACATGATCTGATACCCAGATTTTATCGCCTAATTCTCTTCCTTTCACTCGCTTTACTTCTGTCACCCAGTATCCTTGAGTTCTCCTTTTTTAAAAAACAGATTTTATTTATTTTATTTATTAGAGAGGGGAAAGGACAGAGAAAGAGGGGAGGAAGTATCAATGTGTGGTCCCCTCTCACGCATCCCCTATGGGGGCCTGGCCCACAAACCTGGCATGAGCCCTGACTGAGAATGGAACCGGCAACTCTTTGGTTCACAGGCCAGCGCTCAATCCACTGAGCCACACCAGCCAGGGGAGTATTCTTGAGCTTTAACTTTCCTCTGCCTAGACTGTTCCTCCCCATTGAAAGGTACATGTTCACTCTCTCACCTCTAGGCCTTCCCTGGCTACTCTATCTGTAACTGATGCTACTCTGCACACCTTATACATACCCCCAACACACATGAGCACACACACACTCCCTGTCCTTCTTCCCTGGCTTATTTTTCCCCTTAGTATTTACCACCATTATCACTGCAAATTCGCTTATTTATTGCTTGTCTTCCCCATCTTTAAGACATAAATAAGAGCAAGGTGTTTGCTTTTGTGCACTGCTGTATCCCCAGGACCCTACAAACAGTGCCTGGCACATAGCAGGCATTCAATAAATATTTATAAGTAACTGAGTAAATGAATAACATAATGGTTAGGAACTCCGGGTCTGGTGATCAAATTCCGGGTCTGCTACTTATTAGCTGTACAAACTTTAAAGTTGAAGTTACCAAACTTCCCTAAACCCTAGGTTCCCCGTCTGTAAAATGGGGTTAAGACTGTCCACCTAACAAGAATGCTGAGAAAATTATGAGATAACACGTGTGGCACTCAGCACCATACCTGGCAATCGGCTGACTCTCAGTACGCCTTACTGAGGTTTTGCAAGAAGGTTGCTATTTTCAGTTACACTAAGATCTTGTATGTGAGCGTGCACTCAGAAACGGAAAGCGCTTTGACATTCAGAAACATAAGACCCTTATGGACTCCTTTAGGACAGAGTCAGCTTGTAAAAGAAACTCAATTCCCAGATCTTTCTCTTAGGAGCAAGTAAAGAATTCCCGCGTGCTGGATTTTGCGAGTGTGTCCTCAGGACGACCCCGCACCATCCCGCTCCCTGGAACCCAGCCCTGTCCTCGACCACCCCGCCTCCTACCTTTCTCAGTCACCACGAAGCACTGCTTCACCGGCCCCACCTGACTGAACAGCTCCTCCAGCTGCTCACTGCGGGCCGAAGGAGGGAGGCGGCCCACGAACAGGGTTAGCCCGGCCATGACGCCGGGAAACAAGCTCGCGGAGCCGCGAAAGAACCAGAAAAACGCACACAATCAATGAGCAGGCTTCAGCACGGAAACCACGCGAAGCAACCCGGAGGTTCCGGAAGTTGCTCTTTACTCTAAAGCGTCCGGAGGAAAATATGGTGGGAGGGGAAAAAACGTTCCGGAATAGAAAAAAAAAAAGTGACTCCAGGGACCGAGCTTCTTCTTGAACCGGGCTCCACCCCTAGTCCAAGTACCGCTCCACCCACCCCCACCGTTCTCCCGCCACCGCTGCGCTACTTTTTACCCTGCTTAAAAGTCTCATTTCCAGGACATTGGTCTGCAGTTTACCAGGGAAGGCAGATGTTTTCGCTCGTGGCCTAGGATCTGACATATAATAGATGTTTAAATAAATATTAATTTCTGAAGTGCCGCCACAGACTCCCAGATTACGTATATAAAATGCAGCCGGAATGCACATAGACACAAGTACATCACAAACATCAAATAATCCTCATGTTCTCAGAGAATGTGAGTCATCTGTCACACTGTAACAGATAACTATACACTGCTTATAACGGTTCACAAATTACAGCTGCTAAAGTACACATAGAAAAAGGATTGTACGCAATCATTCTTTTAATATATATTTATTGAGTTCTTACTATGTGCCAGGCACTAGGGCTGCAATTGGTGAGAAGAAATAAAAGACAGGGTCTCTGCCCTCAGAAAGAATACGATCCGTGTGAGTAGACAGACACCTATAACTAGGTCCTCCCGGAGAGAGGGCAAGATCTTCTCTCAAGTCAGCGTATCAGACAGACACGAGGCTAAGGGGATCTCACTGGTAAGGAGATCTGGGTGCTCCTGGATCCTGAAACACAGAGAATGTTTGCTATCCCATTGGGCTCAGACACTACCTGTGGGCAAGACTGCAGTACCCTGCAGAACATGCAGCTGAGAAAGTGCCCAGTGCGTTTTTTAATAAGTACTTTTAAATAGTGTAACCTGAACACATGGTAGTGAAATTCAAAAAGTACAAATAATACAGTGAAAAGAGAATTTCCTTTTCCCCATTTACCTTCAATAAATTCTGGGTGGATGGATGACTGGTTGATAGTAATGGGGGGAAAGGGAGAACACAACATCAGATTTTTGCAGCCCTAGCTCCAAGTAAGTAATAAATACATACTTACAAGAAAATGCCACAGATGTTTTTGAAACACATAACTCAGGAGAAAAAGTATTGAAATACCAAACAAATTTTTAAGGGTATAGGGTTAATCCTATCCAGGATAAAGAGGGAAAAATAGACAAAGAAAATGGGGTGGGCCATTCAAATAAAGATGGGTTGAAATTCCATGTTACTCCCTTTTTTCTCCTCCTCTCCTGCCCCCTCACTTCTTTAGCAATCAAAATTCCATCCCCAGAGATTTCATCACAAGTTTCAGGGCCCCAGCTATGGGGAGGCCTCAGTGCCCACCAGGAAAAGAACCCAACGAAGGCTGATCCAATTCCTTTAGGACACCCCCTACAATGCTACGTTTTAAGTACTTAGGACCCAAACCCTCCTTAAAGGACAAAATGATATCGTGTCCCTGTGCCCATCAGGGGGCAGCAGCCACCCACAGTGTGAAGGAATTTTGTGCCCTGTGGGAGGATAACAGTGCAGCTGACAGGTTTTACAATTCCCAAATTTCAGACCTGGCTCCCCATCCTGGTCCCCCAGACTCGGCCTCAGCCCCATCCCCTCCTGTCCATTCATATCAGGAACACCACATGGTTCTTGAATCAGGAATATTTGCTCATCCATCTACCCAGGACACATGCAGCGTTCTTTATTAAATAGCAGGAGTTGTGGTACCCTGCACCATACCAGCAAAGCGGCTGCCAGGGGAAATAAACTACTGGCTTCTCTCTCATCCATCACTGTGCAGGAGCTAGGAAAGGAAGTGTGGGGGGGCCTGGGCTATTCTCAGCCAGTATCTCCAGAAGTCCCATCCCTCTGGCTCCACTGCCGCTTGCAGACAAAACCTTCTTATATCATCGCATGCTTCTTGTTCTTAGTACTTTTCACAACTGTTATTGGTTACTTATTCTATTGTAATAATTTTAAGAGTAACTCTTTATTGCCTTCCTTCCCCAGACCACTTTCAACTTTTTAAGTTCAGGACTAGCATCACCTTGTTCACTTTTCTGGCCCCAGGACCTAACACGGTGTACATATTCAGTGAAATGTTTTACAGAAGTTGAATGGATGAAGCTGTCTGTCTTTCATTTCTCTACAGTACTAAGAATTGGAACTGAAGGGTGTGTGTATGCATCGGGATTACCTGGACTCCTCTGGAAAACCTACTTTAGATAAGGACTGAGTTATGAGACAAAAGAGAAATGTCGTCTCACCTAAGTCTCAGACTCTTTATAAAGTCAAAGATAATTCTTTGGAAAAAGTGTCGGAGCTGGTGAACAACCACCTGTGTTCCCCTATGGACCCCTATCTCACCAGCGCCATTCAGAGCTTCCAGACAGAAAAGCTGTGTGTGTGTGTGTGTGTGTGTGTGTGTGTGTGTGTGTGTACTTCTCTCAGAGTGTGAGAGAAGCAGACGGAGAGACTGACTGGGGTACAAGAGGCTTGAACTGCTTTGTCAGGAGGTGTGTGCATGAACCCAAGAACCCTTGATGGGAACAGTGAATGAACAGCTGGCAAGGAGTGGGGTGAGGAAGAGATGGCAGAGAGAAGTTGAGTGTGGGCAAAGGCAAACAGCAAGCACTCCTTCCATGACACAAAGCAGCTCTGATGCTGGGCACTACAGGCACCAGGACACCAGTGAGAAATGCCTGTAATTAGGAGGCTGGCAGTTCTCTGGGCCTCAGCCCAGAGTGGCGATGCAGCAAGAATTTCTGAGCCAAGCTGAGCCAGGTGATGGAGGAGACGCGGTCAGAACAACTCCATTCCCATCCCTCAGCCACGACTGCCCCACCCCCCTCTCATTTTCTTCCCTAATATGACTTCACTGCCCACCCCCCAAACATCAGTGACTCCTCTCTGCATTCTGAGGACCCAGGCCTTGAACCCTCCTCTCAGCCATAACAGATCTTCATGTGCAAGAGGAGTGCTATTTCAATCCTTCCACTAGGGCACTGGACCTGATCTCTCTGCCTACTTTCCTCCTGGCTCCCTGCCTTCCCTTCTCAAATCCCCACCAGCTGATGGGCAGCGTTGGAAGAAAAACCACTCCTATTTCTCTTTTTCCCTGTTCAAGTCTAGCATGTGTTCCCTTGTAGGTCTCTCTGTAATGTGCAGGACATCTGCCAAACCACTGTCAGATTTTCATTTTCAAACCTAATCTACGGCCCTCTTTTAGTACCACTCTGAACTTTCTGCATTTTAGCCAAATAATAAATGCACACTACAGCGCTCAGAGCCAAATGCTCTGGACAAGGGAGGGATTACAGAGAGTGGGTGGTTTGGATACATTCATGGGTCTCTGCACTGTGAGCTATGCTTTGGAAGGTAGGATGAGGCTGGAGTTTGGGGAAGACAGGCTTTCTTTAGCGGGGATCTGCACCTATGGAAGATAAGTGTCCTGCAGGGGAAGGAGAGTTGCGTATCTAGCCTTGAAGGGGCCCTGTTGGTAGGTGGAGCTGGTGTGAATTCCTCTGGGAATGGGGTGGAGACATCGCTGGGGCTCCCAGCCCATGGTGATCAAGCCCTTGATATGTGTATCAGCATTTCCATGAAGCTCTTACTACTAACTAGTTCCTAGCCCCCTGCCCACCCGGACCTGAAACCCAGCTCTCTGGACGGCAGATGTTTTCAACAAAGACTGGAGAGTTTCTGCATCACCTCTCGGGGCCATGTTCTATCTCTGCAAAAGCCACTTCCCAGAGAGTCAGCGGGTCTTCGGGGGGCTGCTCCCAGGACCCTCACTCAACCAGCCACAGGACATGACTCCTTGCAGTTGAGAGAGAAGGTCCCTGGGGTCTGAAATGGACCCACCCCACACAAATGCTGCTTCTCTTCCAGAACCAAAGCTGCTGTTGCCTCACCTAAGAAGGTCAGACTTCTTAGGGAGTGGTGGTCGGGAGTGGAGCACCTTGGAGCTTTGTTGCCTCACCAAGAAGGTCAGACTTTCTCCTCTGAAAATATTTTATTGATAAAGTAATTCTAATAGCACTCACCTCCCACCCAACAGCTGTAGAGTCCCCTGGATCTGTCTTGAGCCCTTCTGTACGGAAGGGTCATGTTTCTGTGGGAAGGGTCAGGTGGAGAACAGAAAGTCTCACTCAGGAAGGGATGGGATTCCTGGGTGTGGCCAAAGTGGGTATGGGGACTGAGGGCCATCTCGAGGTCTTCTGAGGTTAGCTCCTCTCACTCAGCACCAGAGTGGGGAATGGTGGTCGGGAGTGGAGCACCTTGGAGCTTTATTGCTGGTGAATGCCAAGGAAAGAGGGACCCCTGCCAGCCTAGCATTGTAGCTGAGGGCATCAGAACCCAGGGCTCCAGAGAAGGTAGCACTAATTCCCAATCAACATAACCTGGCTGCTAAAACACCCACCCAGGAGCACCTGGATGTGGAAGGAGACAGGGAGAGGTATCTGAACCAGGCAAGACTGGGGAAGGGTTACAGTGTGCAGGTCTCGGAGGAGCAGGCGCGGAGGGGCTTCCTCTTCACAGGTCTATGGTGTCGCTGCCTGTGCTCAGCTCGTCTATCTGGCGGCACGCGTCCAGGAATTGCTCCTGCAGCAAGGCCTCTTCGCCCTGCAGCTCAGAGGCAGGCTCCGGGGACTCGCGAGAGGGTGGGGACAGAGCCTGGTAGGATCCTGAGGCTGGGAGGCTGGGGCTACTTCCTGAGGGACGCGGGGGACTGAGGACGCAGACCAGCGGACAGCGCGGGGCCCTGTCTGGGCTGGAGCAAAGCAGCATGGACGAGCTGTCCCGGGAGAGTCCGCAGAGGGAGCTTGACGACGCGCTACTGCCCGCGGGCCAGGCCCCGGGAGAGGGAAGCTCCAGGGGCGCAGGGGTGCCAGGGGCGTCCTCAGACCTCCCACTGAGCACAGCCTCGGTCTTCGCCCCCAGCGAGGCGGTGCTGTAGAGGCCGAGCCCAGGCAGGG